ACACTAATGCACCGGTGAACAGAGTTACCGTAATTTCTAATTACCAGCATTTGTACGGATGATAATTTATTGATATGCATTTCCCGCCATTTATTTTTATTGCCGAACGGCAATGTACTCAAGACTCGCTGTTTCTCTCCCATAAATGAAATGTAATAAAAGTCGCTGGTACACATACATGCCTGCAATCCAATTGCACACACGCTATTTGCTGGAAAGTAATTTGAAATAGTCCATTTTAGAGTGATATATCACTTTTACCAATTAGTTTTCAATATGTGGAAACTTTTGGTGTACGCAAGCGAAAGAGGATTTGGAACTTTGGCACAAAAAAAAATCTTCTCGATTTTCGATTTTTTTTTTGTTCAGTAACATGGGGGATAGACTCAAAAAAGCGTATTGCTTTTTTTTTTCTTTACAAATAGATACAATATTATCATCAATCACAATTAAGTAATTTTTTAATGAACCCGAATTATTAAATATGTTCCGTTCTTTCTCTCACTGGGGTGAGACAGTCAAACAAAGACTAGTTGATAGAAAACGCACAATCATGATGCAGCAAAAATCACAATGAACTGGTTACAATATTTTACAGTGGCATCATGATATGTCAAAATTACCCTATTTTTTGTGTGGAAATTCAATCAATTGTTGTTACGATTTCGGTTTATTATCATTATTTAATGCCTTGAATGATATAACGACTAACTTTTATTTCAATCGATTGCTTTTCATGTCTTCCTTTGATGTTTTTTTTTTCGTTATTTTCTCTATCTATTTTCATTTTCTCTGTATCTGCGCCAATAATGATTCTTCGAAGACATCGGAAGGAAAATAGGCGGATGCACATTATTAGAGTGCAGCTTTCAGCTTGCGTATAGGAGACTTTTTTTTGTTCGGTGTGTTCGCATTTTCCAATACAGCTATTAAGTTTTTCTCCATTCATGTGAAATTGAATTGAACATCGAATTCAATTTGCTCCTTTCACTCGAAAACAGATCTCATTTAAGCATCGATTGCAAAATGTGTAAGGGTCAAGCTGAATGGAGCATGCACACCGTTGCTTTTGTCCTTTTTACAACTTAAGTTCCTTTTTTTCGTATTTTCTGTTGATTTATTTTTATTTTCACGTTTTAACTCCAAATCACATGGGCACATGGAAGTAACATCCAAGCACACATCGAATGTAAATTGCATTACCATTTTACAGTTTTTTTTTTCATTCCGTCTACGTTCGCCAAATTTCTATCGATCGTAAAAAAATATTGTCTAAGCAGAGGCCTTTTACGGTGTAACTCTATTAAAAATTAATACATGTAGAAATTACATGCTCACATATAGTCTCTATTCGAAGAGCATAGAGTGGCAAAATAAACGAAATTTTACCGTTTACATGCGAAATATTATATGTTTAGTCATACACATGTAATGATTATAGCTTATTCAGTCATCCATCATTCCGCACCGTAACGGTTATCCTAGATGTACCAAAATCATGTGCGTGTGTATGTGCTATCCAATTTCTCTGTGTGTCGCATTTCACAGCCTCTGGATCAATCTCCCCGTGTTGTTATCTGTGCAAGCAACATAATATGAAGCAATCAATGGCTCCCCCATGTTGATGCGTTATATACCTTGTATCATTATGTCGCGCAACAAAAATGTGTGAATAGCCCTCACGTGTAAAGTGTCGTGGCTGGAATGAGAAAGATTCAATGAAAAATGGCACACCATAGAAGGTTATTGAATCGGTCACTGTAATTTGTTACCATTGAATGTTGCGCGCTTTAATGACACCGTCTTTGTCAAAAGACAATTATGTGACAAAATCTATCTAATTTCACTTTCAAACAGAGTGGGAGAAAGTAAATTGGATTTTAAAAAAAATTATAGCGTTGACCACTGACATTTTTCGATCGTTTGAAGTGGAAAAATTTAATAAATTGGAGGAAGAGCGTCGTCGCACGTTCAACGAATTTATTTCATTTAAATTTCATAACGAAGAAAAATGAACAAATCCTATTAATTAGCTCAAATTGTGATGTGCATCAATTATTCGAGGATATGGTAACGTTCAATTTGAGTAATCAGTAGTTGAATTGAGAAATGGACAACTTGTTCGTTAGTTTTAAACAACAACAAAAAAGTTGACAAATCAGTGAAATGTACGTAAACATTAGAAAATAAGCAGAGACTTAATCGAGAGCTAAAACATTAAGTTTCGAAATTATGAGGCAGAAGTGAACAAAAATCGATGCCTTTATGCAGAAAATTGAGTATTTTCCAACGAATACATATATTGAAAGTTACACAGCTCCTTTAAAGTTATCGTATATTCAGCCGTAGGGTATATTTAGTGATTAATCTCGGCTTTCTGAACAAATTTCTTTTTTTGGTGTTTGCCATTAAGAACATAGAAAAAGTAAAAAAAAAAATCAACTTAGAAAATACTGTTTGTAGGTACACGAATTAATATATCCAAGCGAAAACATACATACACTGTCCACATTTCCTTCGCTAGTAGTTCAAATTCGGTACTGAAAAAACTAGAGGTATTGATTTTATTCCAGCTAACCTATAAGTTATAGGCTCATATTACCTAAGGTCCGAGTGATTTGGTGAAAAGAAAAATTGAAACGCATGCACACACTCAAAAACACACACTTCAAAATGAAAATCATTAACTTCAATAGAAAATATTGTTTGGCTATTATTTCAAAACATTTTTTTTTCGTGTGCGTACGAAAAACCAAATGGAGACCTTTCCATTCGAAATATATACATACGAAATGAAAAATACGCTAATATAATGAAGACGAACGTGTTCGAGTACAGGAACAAAAATTTCACGAATACGTCATGCACAGTAATTCATTCTCTCTTTCGCTCTTTTTCACTTTCGTCCGTCTCATTTAAGTTCACCCTCGTCGTCGGTTCATGCATGAATTATTTAGTAACATTTTCCGTGTGAATATTTGATGAGCTGCCAGACGGTACGCAGCGGTGAATTTTCCATAACCATTTAACATTATGAACACGCACATAAAATATTCTATGTTATTATACGGTGTATATCATTTCTTCATCCATCGATTCTTTGATATACACGGTACGAACAAAAAAAAATATATATGAAAGAACGAAATATAGAGAGGTATATACATGGAACATGGTTGTTATTTTTATAGATAATGAAACAAAAGGATAACAAAGTTGAACTTGAATACAAAACCTCGAAATAAAACATGTCCATACAGAATGAGTCGCATTCTGTGTCTAAGATAAAGACGCTCTCTCGATGACGCAATGTGATTTTGCAAACAAATTGTTCGGAATATTTTTGTTTTTCATTGTCATTTTGAAATTCAATAAAAAGTATGATCGAACCGAAAAATGGCCGAAGAGAAAAACCGTGTGTTGTTTTCCATTTCCTTGTCCATAATTCGAATTAGAAGAGATTATCGATTTAATCGACACGAAATTCTTCGAATTTGAAACATCGACTTGGTGAATAAGAAAATACACAATTGCGGAAAAGCCATTTGTTTCGTTGAATGTTTGATTAGATTGTCGATGATGGGTTGAAAAAAGGCCGCATATATAGTTGAATTTCGAATAAAGATAGACGGATCGATAAAGGTTTGAACAAATTGTCTGGTAATCCGTGACCAAACCATTATCGATTAAGCATAATGCGATGGCATACAATTTAAGCATCCAATTGTGATACTGATCCAACTCTTCCAAATAGAGAAATGAGAAAACAGCAAATAACATGAAGAGAAAAAATATAGCGCACATGCTATTCAACACAACACCCCATATTTCTATATATCTCCGTTTCCTTTCTTTTATTATATGTGCCTTTTTTTCTCATTCATTCTATCAATGGGAATCACTTAAAGTGTTATTCGAAAAATAAAAGACGACAAACAGAAAAAAAAAAAGTAGAATAAGATACTGCGAACTGTATGAGGAACGAATAGATGTCCTCTGCGGAAAATGAGATATGGCACACAAATAAAAGAGAGCGAGAGATGTTGATTTGTTGGAAACCGGAGACAACACAAATTTGATGCGAAAATCACACGATTCTGTTTGAGTATCTCACAAAAATGCAATCCAATCACTTCTATTGAAGCATAGATTACTTCAAATAGCATTCGATGTGCTTCCCGATTGACAGGTTTTATTTACATTATTCGTTTTGCTGTGTCAATGGATCAGTTTTACAAATCTCGAATGGGTACCGAAGAAGCCAACCGGATTTCATTATCCATCTCGAGACTTAATTCGTTAATCCACATAGTAAAAAGTGAGAATGCTAGTTTCTTATTATTTTTCTTTCCACTAAAATTAAATTCATGTTACGTAAATCGCCAAAAGAGAGGAAACAAATGGAGAGTAGAGTCTATTGATAATTAGTCATATGTAATAAATAAATTTTATGATTGAAATGTGTGTTTTTAGGAGCGAAGAAAATGGATTTTTTTATAGTAAATTGGGCCAATATGTGTCAACCATTAATTAGTTCATAGAGATCTGAGAAAATATATTTTATATATATATAATGGCTATGCGAAGTGAATGTATTCTGGCATCCTTTAAACAACAGAAACAACATTTCAATCATAAATTCATCTTTTCAATTGTGGATCTCATGTGTTCATCTGATTTAATTTCGTTTTTCCAAGTTTTTTTTTATTAATTTCTGGTTTTGGTTTGGTTTTGGTGTGGTTTGGTTTTAGCATTAATTTTAGTTTTTGTTGTTAACATTTGAAATGTTCTTATTGATTGTTTTTTGCAAACATCCAGTTTTTTTTTCATTATTCAAATCATCCTGTTATGATTTTGTTTATCTTTTACAAATAGAACAGACAGATACTTAATTCATGAACAATAAAAATCTAACAAACTAACAATTAAACAAAACAAAATCCAAAAAAAAAAAATGACAAAAAGAAAAATAACCGGAAATATTGTTTCTGTGTTTAAAGGTTGCCTGGGCGGACTTTCAATTATCAACATCGTTGACACCAGCATTGGCCAGAGTTTCCGTAGTCATATTGCAGCTGCTGACACAAATCGAAGCCTTTACTGAACAACTAATTCACTAACTCTAACTTTCACACAATATACAAACAAAAACAAAAAAAATAATCAGCTGGAATGCCTTAATTTAGAAACCAAAATAAAACGAAAAACATTTGAAGCGCAAACCAAAAAAACACGTACACAAACATTTGACTTAGCTAACAAACAAATTTCCAAAAAAGAAAAAAACCCAGCAAATCAATCAAGAAGAAGGCGACGGAACATCAACACATCAAGGACTGATAGATTTATAGCATTAGTGATTTAGACGAAATAAAAAAAAATATTTCAAAACAAATATCGAAGAAGAAGAAGAGAAGAATAAAAAAAAACTAGCAACATCAACAATAACCACAACAAATAAAACCAAATTTAGTAAAAATGTCGTTCACAATACCAGTAATAAATCTTGAATTCAACGAGGTTAAAGAGATACTATGGACAAAAATTCAAGAGCCACAAATTCAGCGCAAGCTGATTTTGGTGATAGTATCAATAGCGCTGCTTCTAGATAATATGCTTTATATGGTTATCGTACCAATTATACCCGATTATCTACGTTATGTTGGTTCATGGGACGACGAAGAGGAAGATTATTCATCAAATAGCACCGACAGCCTGGTTAAAAACCATAATCATCACGATGCATCGACCGGTTTTCTATTTGCATCAAAAGCAATCGTTCAACTAATGGTCAATCCATTTTCCGGTGCAATGATCGATCGCATTGGCTATGACATCCCAATGATGATTGGTTTGGTGATTATGTTCTTTTCAACGGCTATGTTTGCCTGTGGCGGTAGCTACGGTACCTTATTCTTTGCCCGTTCACTGCAAGGCGTTGGCTCAGCATTTGCGGATACATCCGGTTTGGCGATGATTGCCGATCGTTTTACCGAAGAAAATGAACGATCCCGTGCACTCGGCATTGCATTAGCATTTATAAGTTTTGGTTGTTTAGTTGCACCACCATTTGGCGGTGCATTGTATCAATTTTGCGGCAAAGCGGTTCCATTTCTCATTCTGGCGCTGGTTTGTGCAATAGACGGTGCAATGTTATTGTTAGTGATGAAACCGGTAAAAGAGCAATTACGTTTGGCAAATACAGAAGTAAAAGCACCATCAATACCAATCTGGAAACTTCTAATGGATCCATATATTGCTGTTTGTGCTGGTGCATTAATGATGTCAAACGTTGCATTGGCCTTTTTAGAACCGACCATTTCATCGTGGATGGAAGATAATATAACGCAAGACAATTGGAAAATCGGTATGATTTGGTTGCCAGCATTCTTTCCGCATGTATTTGGTGTCATATTAACGGTTAAAATGGCCAGAAAATATCCACAACATCAATGGTTAATGGCGGCTGGTGGACTTGCACTTGAAGGATTATGCTGTTTTATAATACCATTTTCAACATCATATCAAATGCTAATGATTCCAATTTGTGGCATTTGCTTTGGTATTGCGCTCATCGATACAGCACTGTTGCCAACATTGGGCTATTTGGTAGACGTTCGTTATGTATCGGTGTACGGTAGCATTTATGCAATTGCCGATATATCTTATTCGATGGCATATGCGATTGGACCAATCATTGCTGGTGGTGTTGTTGAAGCAATTGGCTTTACGGCTCTAAATTTTTTCATTGCCTTCTCAAATTTGCTGTATACACCAGTGCTTATGTATCTCAAGCACATTTACGATTTTAAACCATTCGAAAGTGAAGCAAATATTTTAATGTCAGATCCACCAAAGAAGGAATATCAAACGTATTCAATGCAAGATCAACGACCGATCGGTGACAATTATAAAAACCATTTGGAATATGGTTCAGCGCAACAAGATCCAAATATGGCCGAAACAAATCTTGATCAAGTACAAAATGGTTATGATGGATACAATCAAGACTATCAACAACAACAGCAATATCAGGCTGGTTATCAGGAACAATCGCAACCACAACGACCACCACCACCGCAACAACAACAGAGACAGCTTCCACAACAACCAGGTCAATCGGGTGTAGCAAATCCATTTCGACAACAACAACAACAGCAACAACAGCCGAATATGCAAAGCAATCGAAACGCTAATCCTTTTAGACAAGGAATGTAGAGTATTTATTTAGAATGAGATTTTACTAAGAAATATGAAAATTAAACCCAAAAACAAACAAAAAATTGAAAATTATCATTGTTGATTATTAAGTATATGCGTTGATTTAATTTAAAACACACAAAACAAGAATGAAAGGAACAAAGTATCCTCAGAGCATATTCTGATTTATTTTATCAAATTTTTATTGAAATTTATGTGACAAGAAACTATTAACTATATATGATTGAGAAGAAAAATAAATAATACAAATTGTCTATTCGGTAAATTCAAGGTTTTTCGCATGCATTCATCAAATGAGATATTTTGTTGATATACGGCAACAAACGAAGTGACACATGACACTCTGTTTATATTCTTTCCACCGGCTAAATCGAATCGCCAACGTTCTTAATTTTAGTAATGAAATGATGAGCGTTGGAATCATTTCCATTACCCAATTGACTTGACAACCCTCCACAACTGTTTCCATCAATTCGATAATATAGTATGGCGTCGATATGCTTCACAACTGATAACAATTTTGAAGCACTTCGCTTTGTAATATGATACGATGAGCCTCTACCTAATTGCAATTTCGTTGATTGATAATCTAAGTTCGGCGCTTGTTTTTGTTCGAAAAGTGAACACATTCCGAACAGACTTGTATAATTGCCATTAAAATAGGCAAATATATGGAATTGAATGTTGAACTGGTTCAAATTACAACCCTTTGACGCACACACACACTTGTTCGATGTTTGTTAAACACGCGAAAGGGTTTTTCATAGCGCGCGTCTCTCTTCCTTCAATCTAATATTTCAAATAAAAATCAAAAGAGATTCAAATCGCCCGCCATCAAAACAGGCAGCTCGATGTCACCGTTCATAGTGAAGGCTATAATTAAGGTGAATCGATTTTGAATTTTCATTCAACTACGCACAAAGAAATTCTTTTTTTTATTCAAATCATTACGGCGTTTGTATGACCGACTGTCCCAACTGAATGAATAATTCTGTGATGTCACGATTTCAAATGATCAAATGGAAAATCGAATTTTAGATACACCTTTCCTATCATATTACAAATTACCATTCAAAACAACATTTTGGGTTGAATTTTGTCAAGTGCGGTGACTTTTTTTCCCTCGTTTACTTTTTGTTTCTTTTCGATAAAAAAAAGAAGTTAAACTTAAAAAAGAAGAAGAAGAAGAAGATTTTAAATGCCTTGCCTCTGTATCAAACATTTTTTTTTAATATCCTAGCTAGGTAACGTTAAATAAAAATAAGCATTAAATCTTACCCAGCGACAGCAAGAACGATGCAATGATGAACTGAACAAATACGTAAATTTGCAACTGTGTCGAATCACTTCCAGAACCGCATGCATTTCGGTGCACGATGATTGTAAGGCAAGAGTTTTATGTTTGGCATATTTAATATTATCTAGATAGAGATATTCAAAAAAACTCAATGTTTTTCCATCTGTAAAACGTAAATAATATACAAAATGAATATTTCCTCTAACAAGAATTTGATACTGGTGTGAAATAGTACAGTTTGTTTGCTGTTTGCAATCAATACTCAACATGAAACACTTTTCAGTAATAAAAAAACACACGTAGAAACAAAATACCGATCGATATTTAAATAAACGAATGCAAACCCAAATTGAATAGAAAGAACATAAATAAATTTGAGAAATAAATGAAATCATTTGAAATGAAATATAAAACTAAAATATATACTATTTAGCGAAAAACCAATTTAAGAATGAGAAACTAGCATACATATTAAAAAACCATTAAAATGCTATGTATTATTGTTGTTGTATATAACTATTTATTATATATTATATGAATATGTATTACATAAAAACAGACACAACGCAACGGAAATAGGTATCTGGATAAATAAATTGCAACCAAAAAAAAACATGTGAACTTGATTTCGGTGGTGTATGATATCAAATTAGATCTTGAAGACGGTTTTTCGAAACCATCCTCTCCCGATGAGGGGAAAAAAATAGAAAACCCAGTCAGATATTCGTCATGCGCTATTTCCGCAAATTCATCGAATAGGCAATACATTTATCCGGAATCAATTTCTTTAAGAGCAAAAAAAACATATAGTAAATGTTAAATATACAAAATATTATTAGATGAATTTAATAAATAAAAAATTATGAGAGAACAACAACAAGAAAAAAAATCACATGTGAAACATATACAAGCAAACAAAATGTATCCATTAATTGTTTTAAAAACAACAAACAAACCATAACAAAAATATACGTTTATGAGAAAACAAAACAAAACTATATCAATTAAAAGCAAATATCATATTTTAACATTTAGATAAACTTCAGAAATTGATTTATGTTTAATTGAGAGCAAAAATGAATATTAGACACATCTAATTTCAATTCATTTTGTGAATGAAATGTCGGCAAAATGAATCAAAAGATTGAGAATATAGCTCATGGCATTTTGTCGGCATTTCGTCGTTTGATGCATTTGCAAAATATAAATTTAGAATAAGATTTTTTTTCTTTGGTTATAAACGTGTCTAACAATTATGGACTGATATTGCATTAATATCGTAGACATATCAAAAGCAAACAAAGTTAGGTTATCTATCACACCAAATCACTATCAAAGTGCAACGAACATCCATAATTGTACTTTGTGACCATATTTAGTGCGTAAGTTTACAAACAACATATACATATACGTTTGCTTTTTCGGTTTGGAAACAGAGTTTTTTTTTCGTTGAATTTAGTTTCTATATCAAATACACTATGTCAATACCTCAATATCTCTCGCCTGGCCAATGGATGATGTATGTATGCGAGTTTTTTTGCTCCTGTATGAGCTTCATCTAGACGGGGAGAGCTTTGAGGGTGGACAAATGCATTTGATAATCTTATGAACATATTAAGAAACAACCAAGGAAAACGATACATATCAAGAGTTTTTCGACTCGCCTCGTTTCTATTTACAAAGTGATATTATTTATATTTATAAATAATCATGTAATATGAAACAAATAAGAGATAGCTTAGTAAATAAAATCTATTATAAGTATATATGTATAAAAACAAATATATATCAAAAAAATTATATCTAGCACGCTGAACGGTAGCATTATTATCAATCAACCGGAGAACGAAAGGAAATAAACATAAAATAACACAATCCAAATTTTCGATTCGATAGTTGAAAGTAGATTTAAAACGCTGATGAAAATTAGTTTAAAAATGAGAGCATATAATATTTAATTTTGATTAATTTATTCGCTGTCATATTATTATTAATGTGTTTCGGTATGCGTTTGGTAAAATCACACACACACACACACACACCGTGGGCCATCAAGATGATGGTAATGCACTAAGAACGATTCAATTAAAACTATTAGTTCCTTTTTTTCACAATTCGATTCATTTTTACAATCATTTTGTGGTGTCCAAACAAATTCGTTCAAATGCACTTCAAACATATGCAAAAGTTACAGTATGACAGCTGTAAAAATCCACCGAACACACCCACAACACGATGATGATGAAGAATAAGCAAAATGAATGTGAAAAAATCGATTCCCTTGAAGTCAATTCAATAAAATTTAAGTTTAGGTAAAAAAAATGAGAAAAACAAACAAAGAATGATTGCAGTCTAAGGAAGGTGTACATATAGTATAATTTTATGAAAATGATGTTTAACTACTGCATAAGAGTCGAAGAGCAAAAAAAATGTGAAGACAACTTGAGGTTCTATGATATTCAATTAGGTATTTTTGTTGTGTTCAATATTACATCCAGAACATGCGCTCTTTACGCTTTTCCCCAAAACATCAAAGAAAATGTTGCGAATCATGTATTCCTTTCAAACGAATCTTTTGGTATAAAAGATTTACTTTTTTCCGGATAGATTTTCTGACAGGATATACATTGGCGGCATTGCATTGCAAAATGTGAATATCTTTAGAATGATGATCTATCGAAAACATATCAGTAATACAGAGAAGAGTCTATTTTCGGAAATGATTTTCAATCAATTTATGCATTGCATTCAATTTATTTGACCTCAAACGAGCTTGACAAATGGCAAAGGAACAAAAACCTATTTCTTCCTATCAATTATTTAATTCAATGCCACATGAAATGCTTCGAGTCTTGTTCGTATTTTGAGTTGCTTTGCTGATTCATTTTTCTGCTATTTTTTTCTATAGATATTTTTCTGGAAAAATGAGTGTTTCATTTAGCGATTTCGATATGATTTCTCAACAAATCATTGTCCCATAAAAACAACAAATAAAAAAAAAAAAACAAATAAAGCAATAAGTGTATATAAGACAACCAGATCATAAGTATCGTAATATTTTCGTAAAAAAAAATTCTATGGTTCAAGTTCGGTTACAGATTTTTGATGTCATCACAATGAATGCATGCTAGTGTATTCTGTAGCTCTTGTGGCACCAAAGGAAGTAAAAAAGCGCTTTGAATAATTGAAGCGGCATTGATTCGCGACGATTCATTGTAGCACATACAATTGAACTGATGGATAGATAGATGTCTCAGATACTTCACAAAATAGTGGCTTTGTGAAAAATGTGTACCTTCGGCGTGAAACTCTGAATTTAAACATCACTAATTTTAAAATAGGATCAACATTCAGAGTTCCATATTGAGGAAATAAGGGCCATTTTGTAATATATCAGGAATATCTCTGTATTCAGTTTGATTGTATGTTTTTATAGCATGTCCGTGGATATATCAATTCCATAGACATACCATGTTACTAGATGGATGATTCGTATACAGTTTTCCAAAAGTTAATCGTTGCCGCTTCATGCCGTATTTGGCCGAAATATTTCGTCTAATAATCATTTTTAGACTTAATAAAGACATCAAACCAATCTGTAGAGAAATTTTACATTGAACGGTGGACTAGATTACCAAAATGAAGAAATAATAACTGAAAAACTTAACCCAAAAAACATACAATCTACACACGTAGCTATAATAAATTTTAAATGTAATTAACATTTTCATGCAATTTGTGTAGTTAGCGTATGCAATATATATAGATATATATCATGAAAATGAGGCATAGATAAGAATGTAAATATATAGATAAACTAGGATATCGGCGTAGAATGAAGCCATATATTTCATTGCATTGAATCTATTTAATTGGAAGTCCCCATATCTGATTTTCAATTCTTCAACATTCATTTACTTCATTAAATTTCAAATAATCTTTGTCTATATTTAACATTTCACTTTCGGTTTCTATACACCTTATTATGAGTTTGAACACTTATCGGAACTTAAACAAAAACTCACAACATTCTAAATCTATAACTCCCCCTTTTACTTGTCGCCTCTACTTTCATTATCTGTGTCATCGATTCCGAGCATAAAATACTAACGATAAAAATTAAACATTTGTTACATAAATATAATAACAAATGAAGGTGAAACATAAATTTTACGCTATTTGATAGTTCAAAAAAACAAAATACATAGAAAACAAGAGCAAATATTTTGAAGAATGTCATCAGTCTCATTGTTCTACGAATCAATTTTTAATTGGGCTCTAGACGCAAATAAAAACAATTTACTAATTGATTGTGACAGTAACCCCCCCAAAAAAATGTGTTGACATTTGGACAAAAATTTCTGTGAAATTTAATGTGTATAACAAACATAATGATCCCAAAAAAGATGTTAGCCTATTACAATTATTGAATGGCGATTATTTTGTATAGAACCCAACCAAAAATTATTCGCGAAACTACATACGAAACTTAGACACACATAAACAATGAAATCATAGTGGAAATGCTCAACCAAATCTTGATGCGAATGCAAAGTAATCAGATATAGTGTGAAAGCAAGAGAAACATAGAACAAGTACAAGTGATGAGAACATTTTTTTTAGTTTAAGATTATCACGGTGTAGCGATGCACAACTATAAAATGTCATACATAATCTCACATCCACATAGAGAAATGATATAGCTTATGCAAATACAAAAAAAAAAATAACACAAAGGTGAAGCAAGAATTTAAAATAAAAAAAAATGTTTAACAACAGCAACAAACTGCAAAATCTCTTATACATATATAAATATATATACAAACAAAATAATATATAATCACTGTCTCAGACACCAGATATTCTCTTCGGTTATTATATTTGAATCTCGGGATTTGACAACCTCTATCTTCCTCTTGATTCATTTTCATCTGTCAATATTACTTTTTCTTCGATAAGAATTATCAATATCCGTTTCGAATGTTTGGTTCCATAAATCATAAGTTGTACATATCGTCAAATGAACCAGTTAATGAAAACCAAAGAGAATAAACTTAGTTTTATCAAAAGTGAAAAAAAAACAAACAAAAATAAACAAAATTTAATTGAAAATAATTTAAAAGTAAAAATATTTAATAAAATAAAATAAAAAACAAAACGACAACTGCAAATAAACTGTTGAAGCAGAAGCGCAGAATTGGCGTATTGAGATACAAATGGTGCCGGAAATGTGTAATATTAAACGTAATGAAAATAGAAATAATTCAATTTTAATATTAATTAATATAAATGAAAAGTGTAAACAAATGTGTTTGTTTTCGATTTAGAGGCAAGTAAAAGTAATTAAACAAAAGCACCGGTCACGGTTCAGTCACTTGTTTTCCACATTTTGCTCTAAAACGAAAACATTCAATCGAATATCAACAAATAGTCAAATGGATAATTTAAATGATTTACTAAAAATATGAAGAAAGGAAAACCAACAATTATAGTATTCAAAATAAATAGTTATTAATTCTAGGCGTTTCATATTATTGTATTTCTGTTCTATTCTTTAACAAATCAAAAGAAAAACAAAATTTCAAACGTAGTCATAGTGTGTGTTTGCAATTCGCCTTTAAATTCTTCAATCATAAAAATTGAAAACCATAGCTACAAACCACACACACACAAAAATATCTTCTCTGGTTGACTAGAAAAGAAAAACATGAAAATAAAATTCAATATCCCAAAAGCATTATATGTCGATTGAATCGACAAAAATATCACATGTTTAAATTCATTATGATCATTGAAAAAAAAGAATTGTTCGTT